CTTCAGATTGATCAGATTATAGATTTACCCGATCCGGGCTCAATTGATTGAACCTTACCCCACCAATCACCTCAGATTACCCAAAAATCCTATTCTGTGAAATTTCATCCAAAATATACCTTATGTGCCCCTTGATCACATAAATATTTTATTTCGAGCGTCTAGATTAACCGAATCGATCCCTCTCCAAATCCTTCCAATCCGGGCCTAGTTAGGCCAATCCAACCCTACCAATAAACTCAGAATGTTCGAAAACTCTACCCTATGAAATCTCAGCCTAAAAAACCCTCATTTACTCTTTCATCTAAATAGATTCCGTTTCGGTCAATCTCATTTGTTCATATGCATCAAAACCCCTCTCAACCATCAAACCCATATCAACCCTCCATTTTTTGACCCGGAACCACCCATTATTGAACCAGGACCCCGGTCTGAGCCCTTGAACTGGTTTGACCCAATTTTCTCAAAATTACAAAAACACCCTAAATTTACCTAAATTTATAAAATTACCCCTTTGCCCTAATATAAATTTTAACCTAAACTCTTTAGTTGCCCTAATTTGAATCCACTATTCAGCTTCTCCCTCCCTTCGACATAGAGCGGTAGCGGCAAACCAGAAGCCCCATTTTCTTCGCATCTTTGATCTCATTCAACCTCTCACATTCTTTCTTCTTCTCTTTATTTTTTTCTTTATTTCTTTTTCTTCTTCTTCTTTCCCCTTTTCCTTTCTTTGTTTCATTTATGTCACTGCAATGGCAGATTCGAACTCAACGACCGCTATTTTCACTCGACCCCCCCTCTCTCTATCTATCTTTCCTTCCCCTCACGTTCCTTATCCTTCTTTATCTGCCTCCCTCATCCTCTGTCTGCAGGTTGGTTCAAGCCACCACCGTCGCTATAACTTCTAGTAGCGGCGATGGTTTCTTTTCTCCTATTCTTTCTCTCCCTCTTTCCTACTCTCTCATATTCACAGCACAGTCGAACGCTTGAAACCATTGTCGCTGCTTTGACTTCTGCCAGCAACGACAACCCTATAGCATCATCTATTTAAGGTCAAAATCCCAACCCCATACTGCCCGGTATATTGAAGCTCACCAAAAAACGACTATCGACTCATTGCACTTAGCGTAAGTCTGTCATAGTAATGTCTCGCTCAGAGGTGGGTTCATTCATCTATTTGCCTTACGTTAAACATTGCCTTTCAATCTCAGCATTCGGTAGCAGACTGAGGCCCTCCTTATTCTGCGAGCTTGAATCAGACAAGTTGAAGAGGTCATTCTCAGCTTGTTCGTACTTAGAAGGTCCATAATCTGATCTCGACCCACCAAATACATCGGAATTACCTGGAGTTCATATTTGCAGCATCAAACATCTTGCCAAGACGTCATTAAGGTAAACTAAGACCGAACTTCCTCTGTATTTGCTTTGACAAGGAGGACTCGAGGTTGGGGTGTAGACCGATGGAGTAGATTCCATCAGATTCACTCACTTAGGTCTTATTCCCAACTCAATCTGATCTAAAATCTATTGCCTGCTCCATGTTTAGTTAGATTTTATAGTTGCATCAATAGAGTTCAGACTGTTATGGATCTTATTTTGTTCCTTTCTGCTTAGTTCTTATCTATGAGAAGTAGATCTTTCATATGCTTACTGATGTTTTGGTTATTCACCTAGATGTTTATTTCTCTTATTTATGATTTCATTTCCACTTGTTATAGGTTAGATTGTTTGTTAATGTTAACTTTGTCTTTTGGAGATCAATATATGATAAAAAGGGATGCTGAAATTTATATTAGTTTTGAAATTCCAATACCGATATGTGATTTTGTTTCAAAGTAAATTCTGTGACTGTTGATCATTTTGAAATGAAAAATAATAAAATAAAAATCTATAGAATTTACTTTCATATTGGTTTGCCCCTGTTAATTGTTTTCGTCATTAACATGTTGATTGATTAAGTGTATATTGTGTTTATGCTTATTTGGAATCACCATGTGGGCCCCCACCTATTAGACCCGGGAGAGGGGTGCTTAACCCTGTTCCCTCTCCCATCTGAGTCTTACCCAGACTGGTTAGCCAGTGACTCGGGCATTGGAGTCACTATCTAAATAAAATTTGTTTTTGAAAATTAATCCTGAAGGTCCCATCACCTCCTTTTCATCCATTTGATGGGTGGCGACTCCATTTCCAGCCCAAGTGGCAAAGTGAGCCATTTTTTTTACGCTCACACCAGCATAAATATTTTTTTTGGAAGAATGAAAATGAGTAACATAGGACACTTGTTAGTATGAAAATAATTCATTTTTAGGAAAAAAATGTTTGGTTCATAGCAATAATTTCTCATTCTGCCTATTTTATCCATTCTTTTTCATTTTATAATTTCATCATGGGTAAAAATGATAAAGAATGAGAATTGAACCAAACATGTGAAGGAATGAGAGATTCATCATATGGATAGCCGAACCCTGCAGGTAGGTTGGGGGAAATTTCAAAATTTTTTTTTCTCTCTCTCTCTCTCTCCCATGTGGGAATCACATTCCCTATTTTAGAAAACTGCATTTTCAATGATCAATATTGAATCCTAAACCATACCAAATCTGAAACCAAAAGGTATGAGAGGGATATACCTGATACAAAGTAGTAATGACTCACAATGAAGGTGTTCACGCCCAAGGAGATCTCCAAAGACTGCTCCCACTGAAGATGACACAGTGTAGGGTGGAGCAGAATCAACAAGGTGGTCCTTCAACAAGAACCTGATTATTCACCAAGAATCTGTTGGAGGGCGAGTGAGCACGACTTCAGATCAGTTTTTATCCAAAAACTGATATCAAGAACCTTTCTTGATCGCTCCTACAGGTGGAGATTGAACTGGCAATGGCGGCAGCAATAAGAGAAGGCAAAAGCAGAAGATGGCGTCAGTCAAACTATAACTGTCCTCTCTCTTGTATCAGCAATTTGATGGGGTCAATTGGGGTTCGCCCTCCTCCTCTATTTATAGCCTTAAAGAGAGGTTCTCCTAATCCCATTATGAGTTTCATAATCCAAATATTGTATTTGGATCTGAACTCTCTTTAAGAAATAAGAATAATCCCTTATAAATATCAACCCTCCTAATCTAATTAGGAGTTTCCTGATCCAAACATTTATTTGGATCTTGACTCTTTGAGTGGATAGGGACAATCCCTTATCCTATCTGCTGATCCAAATCCCATAACCGCCCATTTTTAATTAATCATATTAAACCAGTTCGAATTGGGCTTTAGGTCCATTAAGTCCATGTGCTCACTTATCCTCCAAACTGTTGCCCAGTTGGGTATCCTTGTATGGCATGAGACCCAAACATTGATCTACACATCAGCCACATGGGTTCAGCCCAACCTCTGTTACAAGGCCTGGCCGAATTCACTGTAGGTGACAGTGAACCCCATAGCCCATCACCATGGGCTCTTAATGTGCCCAACATTTACACTAAATGGTCATTGGGTCAAGCCACCTTATAAAAACCCAAGGACTGAGTTATTACCCTCAATGGTCTTACGCTTAACCTCTCAGATCATAATGATCAAACACTGTCCGACAAGAGAGGACCTCTCCCTCGGCTGTAAGGAACAGTGTTGCGCTCTCTAATCACATGGATCCCGGAAATTAAAACATTTTGCAAACATTTTGAAACCATAATATATGTTTTGCAAAACAAATTTCAACGGTTGAAATCGATTGCCGATAGCTTTGGTTTCCATCAGAGATAGTGCATCCCTGATCATTCACTTTGTCCGACAAATGGGCTGATCCGTTCACTATGATCACCCACTCAAATGAATTCTCAGACTGTCCCAACATACCCAGGTTTTGACCCTCTCTAAGGATCTCACTGATTGGCATATCAAAGACAGCCCAATCCGACACCTAGTGCAGTATCATAATCGAGTATAGGGGTCAGGTGTAACATTTCAGTTTTGCCCATCTATCTCCAAGGTCCAGGGCAATACTGGAATTATGGTCCGGTTCAAGGTTTCAAGAAAACCCATATTGCATGTACCTCAGGTCTCACCCTAGCAGCTGAGACAAGCCACCCCAACCAACTTGGCGGCACATCAGTGTCAGCCTTGGTAGGATAAATCTCCCAATATCTATCAAACGGCTGTAAATATTATAAACTAACACGAGTCTCATATGTGTCATGTTTAATGGTATTACACAGAAACACACTATAATAACATGAATCAAATATGTACTTTATTCATTTACATTAAATGTCATAAGGTACATCATTCTTATTGGAGCTAAGGGCATACACTGTCTAACAACATGGCCTAAGTGTTTGGTGAAAATGCATTTACTTCAAAAATAATGTGATAGGCTAAAACAATTAGGAAAGAAATCCTGACCCAAAATATTTAAAATAAACACTCCCAAACTTAGCCAAAATATTGATTATTGGGTAACAAATTAATGAACAAAATTTCAGATCGGACCACTTTTTAAACCCGATTTCTATTTTTTTGTTTACCCCAACCTAGACCTTTTCATGGTCTAAGTAGCATGATGGGTTGGCCCCACATGATCCATTCTTAGTCGGGCTTAGACTTGATTTTAGGCCTATGGGCTTGGGCTCGAGCCCAAAACACCTAGCTTAACTTTTTTTGGGTCGGACTCGAACTTTCTCAAAAATGCCCAACTCGAACCCGAGCTGACTTGATAGTATATTATAAAACAATAAATATATTTTATATAACAAAAAACATATATAAAATATATTTTTTTCTTTGTTATCTTTCATTATTTTTAGGTTTTGAGGCATTTAATATAAATAAAACAGTTTTTCATAAAATAAAAAATCTTTTACCCTATTTTCTGTCCGGACTTCGGGCGGGTTTGAGGTTTTGCGCTTTATACGAGGGCCTGAATGTATTCTGCCAACGCAGAAACCAAAACCCGGCCCATAAACAGGTCTATCACTCTATATCAATCCCAACCTGGGGTGGGCCGATGTAGCCAAGCCCGTCCGGTAAAGATTCCAAAGCATTTCCTGATTTCCTGCAGCGCAAGTTATTTCCTAGCTTGTAGAAATAAGCGTAGCTCCCCAAGCTTAATAGGCTAATAGCTACCCTCACACCAACCAGCTCGACTCTGCTTCCTCTTCTTCGTCACAACTTTTCTGTTCTAAGCTCTGAACATGACGATCGATCCTAAGGCTAATAATGGCGCAGCCCCAGAAGAGGCTACTCTGAAAGTCCCGTCCAAGGACCCGAAGAAGAAGAAGGATGAGAAAAAGGAGGAAGATCTCGTCAGTTGAAAACCCTAGTTTTCTTTTCTTCAGCCTTTTCTTCGAAATTTTGTTTTCGTTTTGAAACTTGACCGATCTAATGGGCATGTTTGTTCAAAATTACAGTCGGACGAGGACTTGGCGCTGAAGCAGCAATTGGAGCTGTATGTCGAAAGGGTTCAGGATTCGGATCCTGGTGTGCAGAAGCTCGCCCTAGAAAGCATGAGGTAGTTGGTTCCTAATCTCAAAATAAAGAAGAAAACTTTTTCGGTAATTCTATTGGTAGTTGATGCACCTTTAGGTTTATGACCGACCTAAGAGGTAGGTCATCAGTTGGACTTCGGATGGATGAGCATTTTTTCTGTAGAAGAAGATTTTGTCTGTAAAAGTCCATTTTTTTCTATGGCACTAGAGTTCCAGACATCATTATCGAATCAATGTGTCCAAAAACAGGATTCGATTTGTATACCCGACCCCTTATAGTTGGACAAGCTTTATTGAGTTGAGTTATAGAATCAATGTACTAAGCTTTATTGAGTTGTATTCAAAATAATTTCCTTTTAACCGAATTGACACGCAAAGTGGCAAGGATTAGCAACGGCCGGTTACAATTAAGGTAAACAGGGACCTGTCTTTCGGTTACTTTGTATGTAGGGTTAAACATCAAAAGGATGAGAACTTCCATTCCTAGAAATGAACACTTATTTGAAGAGTGTAAAAAGTACGATAGGAAAGCACAACTTTCTTTATTCCCGTGTTGCACACAGAGTTGCATGTTAAGTGCTATATTCTGTAATTTGAAGGCAGTGATGTATGCATGAGATGAATGCTATTTCCTCATATAGTTTAATCAATACTCATTTTATTTAAACGTAGGCAGGAGATACGAACCTCAACAAGCTCCATGACTTCTGTTCCTAAGCCATTGAAATTTCTCCGTCCGCACTATGGAACCTTAAAGGCATACTATGAAACAATGGCGGATTCAGATCTGAAGGTTTGAACTGTCTGGATGGTTATTTGCAGTAGTTTTATTCCTAGGGAGCTATTTCTTAAATGGTTCACATTCTTTCCCCCTTATTTACAGAAATACCTTGCTGATATACTTTCAGTTTTGGCCTTGACTATGTCAGCTGAAGGTGAACGGGTAAGTGGAGTTATTCTATTATGTTAGTTCTTGGAGTTACTTAATATTATTGATCCTATGTTCAGAATTTAAAATCCAAGGTCTAGAAAACTAATGCCCATTGTGGTGAATAAACACACTATTATCATGTTACCAAGGGAACTGTTTTTTTAACTCATTTTCTTCTTGTTGGTTTCTAATTCCTTATAAAATTTTCGAGCAGTAGTTATGAACTAAAATGGGGGGGGGGGAAGATGACTATGAAAAGTAGCTTGGGAAGAGATACTTGTAATTATTCTCCTTTCAGCTTCTAGCCTTCTACTGGTCTGACTATTCTTATACATTGATCTCTTTTACTCTTTATCACTTTTATTCACTTACATTTTTGTTCCTTTTGCGCTGAATTTTAGTCACTCCGTCTATGTCCTTGGTCTTCTTGATAAAAGAATAATTATATAAAAACCTGCAGATCATTGCAATAGCATGTTTAGTTATGGGCGAGGGGTATTATGTTGCTTGTCTTGTCATTAGTTTTAGCTTCCATGATTCCATTGCATTACATATTGGTTATCTATACACTTTACCTACTCTTAGGTTATTAGTTGATTGGTTGTTTTCTCTGTTGCTCCTGCAGGAAAGCCTGAAATACAGGTTATTGGGTTCAGAGGGAGACATCGGCTCATGGGGTCATGAGTATGTAAGGTGAGAGGGTCTTTTGATCCAGAAGAAAAGAAAAAAAAACTGCTCAAGGGAGGGGTATCATATCTACTTATTACTATGGCTATGAACCAAGTATTTCCATGCACCAATTAATCCTTTTATTAAAATGATAAGGGAAAGCTGGGCTGTCCAGTTTTTCTCTTGACATGTTTATCACAATGATATAAAGTGGAAGGTCCTCAGTTACTCATTTTGGAAATGCCATCCTTATTGATGATGGACTTATTTTTAATCAGGAACCTTGCTGGAGAAATTGCACAGGAGTATACAAAGCGGCAGGTTAGGCAATTTATCTTTTCAAACATGGCAGTTAATTTCCTTGATTATGTTATTTATAAGAGGTTTTATGTGAACAAGGGGAAGATAGTTTACAAATTACAAGGTTAACATAGAAAAATCATATTCTTCCTTTTTTTTTTAAAATTATAGTGTTCATATTGCCAGTTATTTTTTCAAATATATTTTTGACATTATATGAGCTAGTATCATACGATTCGATGTATTCATTTCCCATATTGTTGTTTAATTTTTGATCATGTTGGGTTCTTTGGTTATCTGTATCTGTACTGATAGGACATATATCTCTATTCAAGTAACTTGTATCTGGATATTTTCATTTATACTTATATTCTTTTATCAATACAAAAAATAAAGTGCAGATGGAAATGGTGAAGCACCTACATGTAACCGTTATGTTAAAATCACAAGATTTTTTTTCTCATTATTTAGTATGTTTTCCTTTGCCTTCATAACAGCAGATTGAGGAGGCGCCAATAGATGATCTTATGGAGCTTGTGCAACAAATTGTTGCATTCCATATGAAGGTATGGTTGCTAAATTTTCTATTGAGCAGCTACGTATGAAGATCTACTATATGTTTCATTTGGAAGTTCAGTTTTTACATACTCTTTCTAAATGGTTTCATTTTTGCATTCTTTTTGTTTTACTTCCTGTTCCAGTGGACACAAGGTAGAATGCTTACTTCAGCATTATTTATATATTTACTTTGACTTTGTTTTGCAGCATAATGCTGAACCTGAAGCTGTAGACCTTTTAATGGAGGTTAGTACCTAATTTTCATTTCTTGTATCTTGTTTGTTATTAGTTGGAAAGGAATATACTAATATTTCAATTGATCCAGGTTGAAGATCTTGATCTGTTAGTTGAACACGTTGATGCTACAAATTTCAAAAGAACATGCTTGTACCTTACTAGTTCGGCCAGGTAACTGCATTTTGAAAATGAAAACTGTTTTCTCTTATTATTTGAAGTTTTAGCCTCAAAACCATTTCTTTCCATTGAGTTTATTGTTTTTGTTTTATGTGTGAAATTTGATAAACCAATACCTGTGTTAACTATATCCAATATGCAATCTTTTGGATCAAGGTAAATGTGGGAATTAGGTATTTGAGTGAAGGTACTCCATTCTTTTAAAACCTTATTGTTTGGTGACATTGATAGTGAATTGCTTGTGAAATATCAAAGTTGGCCCTTTAAGCCATGGTGGGGTGGGCTGCACTCATATTCCCATATTTTATTGAATTTTTATTTATGTTCTTAGCTGGTTATTTGCTTCTTTATCCCTAGCAGTAAAACTAGAACACTTGGCTGATTGTCTTTGTTTTTTAAGACAATAAGGACTATAACATCTTTAATTAATTTATTTTAATTTAAAATGATTTTATTCCATTGAGGTTATTCTGGTAAATTGTAGTCTAGTATCAAATTCAGATATTTCTAATACCAACTAAGTATAGTTTAGGGTACTTAAACCTTGGATCTGTGATTGAACCCTGCCTTCATTAATCCTAATCACTGACAGCTAACCATTGACCCATTACCCATCAAAAATTCAAAGAGTGTTTTTTTTTTGTCAAGGATATAAATGCTAGTAGGGGAATAAATAGAGAACTTGAAAAAAAAAATACAAAATCCGTAGTATGATTTCATATATCCACATTGTTTTATTTAATTTCTCCATGAGCATTGCTAGTTCATTATACAAGGATAAGGGGAGTGAAGAGAAGGCAGCCAAAGGACCAGGCTACCCAAGACACCAAAAAGGGGAAATGAAAAGGAAAATTATAATGGAAAGTGTTGTCTGTAAATCTGATCTGTCTAAACTCTTCTTTTGACTAATAAATCAGCCAGGAGTTGGTCAACCTTGAGATCGAAGAGGAGATACTCCAAGGCAGTGTTTTAAAAAGGTGTGCTTTGGCATGCCTAGGCTCTCGACTTTTATTTTGTGTCTCTCATCTATCTTTGTTGTAAATTACTATGTTCTAGGTTCTAGCTATGATTTTTAGAGTTTAAACAGTTTAGCTTATTTAGGACTTGAACCTACAATGGTACAATTTCTGAGTTATTACTTATTAAGACGATGTTCTAACCAATTCAGCTAACATTTACTTGTTTCAGATTTAGATTCGTATATTGTTATATATCAAAATTTTTATTTTTTTGACAAATTCACTCTATTCAGGTGTATCACATTGTCTTGTGCCTCACACCTCAATCTCTATGACCCCTTGCACTTTAGTTGCATTTCTTGCTTTCAGAGCACTTCTCCAGGGAACCAAGGGTAGGAGATTTGTCTCTGTATAAAATGGTCTTCATGGACGATTTGGCGTCCTTTATATCCATCCCAAAATAAATTTTTCCATTTTTAGTCCCTTTCAACCTCAATCTGCTCCATTCCAAGTGAAATGCAGAATCTCACCTTAAGGGAGAAAAGCTAGCAATTCGTCTTTTGAGGACTTGCCAATCTTAATATCACCTGAAAAATTTTCATTGTCATTAGAGATCAATGTTTTAAAATGTGGAGACATGATGTGTAGTTTCTTGTATAGTGCACAATAGAGCTATATGCCTATACACTGCATACACCTCTATGCTGGGCGTATGCCTCAAGGGTCTGAATGCTTTTAGGCTGAAACTCCAGCGCTTTTTAAAACGCTGTGAGAGATTCTAAAGAAACCCCTAAAGCTGACATATCCTGATTTCCTAAAGAACAACCAATTCTGTTCGGTTTTATCAACTCAATCGAAAGAGTGGGGGGGTATTCTCACTATAAGAGGTGCTTGTTGGGTGTGCACTAGGGAGGAGTTTGGATTTTTCTCTTTTGATGATGTGTTGATCTTATTTGGAAAGATTGTTTAATATGGAGTTTTTTCAGATCTGGAACCCTGTTTGTCAAGTAGCTTTCAAGTGTAATTTTGATGGCTCCTCCATTAGGAATCTGGGGCCTTCTGGAGTTGGAAGAGCTTTCTGATATCAGGAGGGGGTTATATGGTATTCTTGGGTCCTACTGGAGATGTGTATCTGTTTTGGGTGGATGTTTTGGCAGTTTACAGGGGCCCAGATTGGTATTGATGTCATTCATGTGTGGAGGTGGAGCGTGGTTGTCAGGTTGTTATTTGCATGGATTATAGTTGGCTATGAAGGGCCTTAGTCTGACAGTCAAATCTGAACCCCTTCACCCTCCGGTGTGTTTATTTTTTTTGTGCATCCTTCTTCAAAACCTTAACTTTACCTGATGCTAGTAGTGAACTTTCTTTCCTTGTTAAAGAGGTCTGGAGTAAGCCTATTCCCCCCAGGGTTGGGAGTTTTTCTTGGGGAGTCTTTCTGGAAAGAATCAATACCTGCAATATGCTTCAAAGAAAGAGACCTAATAGTTGTTTTCCCCCTCACTGGTGTGTCCTCTGTGAAGCTGATGGTGAGACTTGCTTTCACTTATCAATCTCCTGTTCTTTCGTTAAAGATATTTGGGATTGGTTTCTTTCTTTCTTTGTTTTGGTGTAGGTGGTCCCCCCACCCCCCAACACACACACAATGAGAAAACTTGTTGTTACCTCTACAACTTTCAGTTTGCTAGAGAAGAGAGGAAGGATCATGTGGAGATGTGTGAGGGTTGCTAGATTATTTTCACAAAAGAAGAGAACTAAATAAGCTATCATAGAGGTGGTCTTCAATAGAGTAGTGCATTGGATTAAGTCCTTGGAACTCTTCAAAGACTTTCCAATGGAAGATTTCTTAAGAGGCTGGAAAGAAGTTGCTTCATCAGTCCTGGTTAAGAATGCCTTAATTTCCTCTTGGACACCCTAAGCTGAACTTTGACAGGAGCAGTGTTGGAAATCCAAGGCCCTCAGGAATTGGAGGTGTTTTTAGGGATGAGGAAGGAAAGTTCATTGCCTTATTGGCTTATTCTCAGGCCCAATTGGAGAAGGTGGGTTCTTTAAGGGCTGAGCTAATGGCAGCTTTAGAAGGGGTAAAACGAGCAAAGGAGATGAGTATTTTTTTTTTGATCGATAACAGAAATCTTTATTAATGAATAATACTTGTGAAAATTAATTACAGAAAATGGGGAGGTAAACTATCTTAACTCCCCAACATCAAAATGGCAACAAAATACTAAAAATGTGTCCAAAACAAAGAATCCTTAGCCACCCCTTGCTTAGCTAACCCATCAGCCATTGAGTTGGCACTTCTCTTCACCCAGCTGTATTGCACCTCTAAGTCCTTACGCAGCCAATTAAAATTTTTCTTCTCATTGCTGTAGCTCCACAAGCCACTGATATCTCCTTTCAGCCACCTAATCACCACCTTCGAGTTCCCCTCAATCATTAAGCATCTAATGCTTAATTCTCTTGCTCTTTGGATTCCTTCAAGAACTGCTAGAATTTCGGCTCTAAGAGAGTCACCGTCTCCAATTAGCCCAAAGAACATGGCAGTAATATACCCCTCCTCATTCCTGAAAAC